ACAGAACAGGCAGACTGATGAAATACACTGCTGAGGGAAGCAGCAGGCGTGGCAGGAGAGGTCTGCGTGCCATGTGGGACCCTCACCTGGCGGCAGGGTATCGAACTGGCGCTGCAGAGGCTGCAGGCAGCTTCACAGCCCAGCGCTCAACCGCTGCGCCACCTGGGAGGCCCAAAATATACTGTTTTAAAAACAAAGGGATTCCTTATGCTGAAAGGTTTGTTCACGTAAAAAATGTTTTGATTTTTTTACCTGTTTTGTTCACTGATATGTCCCTAGCACCCAGGCCAGGGTCTGGAAAATGTAGTCAATGGCGACAAATACTTACTTGCAGCATGAACCTTTAGGAATCCTTCCCCAAGTAGACAACCAGACAGGTCCCATCACTTTAAATGACAACTAAAGTAGTGCTTAGCCCTGAAGTTCTTAGCCTAATTTTGCATCCTGAATCCTCTGACTAGCTGAAATCTCTATCATCCTCAGGAAATAACGTTTTTAAATGCACAAAGTAAAATACATAGGAAACCAAAGTACTGCTATCAAAATATATTTTAATGTTGTGGTTGTAATTTATTAAACAACAAGATCTTGTGATGGATCTAATAACTACAGTAATTTCAGAGAAATAAATATAAATTATTTTTTGAGATACCTCCAACAAGTATAGTGTGGTTCCTACTGGTGACAAATATGCAGAGCTTGCTTATACTACAATGATTTGGTGCCCATGTTCATAATTGGAAGAAATGCTACCTTTCATTTGAGATTAGTAAAAATTAGAGGTGTAATTTATTTTTCCCATTCATGCCTATAGATCTCAACAGTGTCTCCTCAAATTACAATCCTCAACTGATACCACCTGAGTAGTTTACTAGGCTGAGGGGTGGGGGAAGGGGGCAGGAAATCCTTCAATAAAAATGTGTTCTGAATTCATAATACACTGACGCAGAAAATGGTGGATGCCAGGTTATCAACCTCTGTGTCAAAATCTTTCGATCGTCTATGAACGTGTATAGCAGGTAAAATTTGAATATGCATGTTAAGAAATGTGCTAAAAAGTGTAATTAATAAAAAATTATGGGGTGTTTCCAATGAGCCAGGCATTGTGTTAGGGGCTTAATGTACTATTGTGAGTCCTCAAATAACTTTGCAAGAATGGGGGGCATGAGCTCCATTCTCAGATGAGCAAATGATCACAGAGAAGCCAAATACTTTGGCTAAAATTGCACCTAGGCTGATAGCAAAGGCTTTACAACTAGACATTCTCATACTGCTGCATCAGACTTACCTGGGAGCATAGTAAAACTCTACATTCACAGGTTTGATCAGAGAGATTCTCAGTCAGTCTGAGGTGCTGCTGTAGGATTGATCTTTTTCAACAGCCCCCTGGGGTGATTGTGATGCAAGCTGCTTGCACAATGCACTTTGAGAAATACTGATTTAACGCTGCCTCTGTATGGCTCAGGTCACTTGAATATTTGTTCTAGGGAAGAGTGTGTGCTCAGTGCCATTTCACACTTCCTCCCACCCCTGAATGCAGCACTTGGCCTCCATCAGACCCTGCAGGTCATTCCTACCATCTCTCCTCCCATTTCTCCATTCACATCTCTCTGGTGTCTCTCACACTGGTTCAGCCTTGCCAAATATTTGTTAACAAAAAAATTGGACGATTAGCGAAAAGAGAGTCGTGATAATTCAGAGATTTTTCTCAGGCTGCCCCTGCCCCCCATCCCCCCAACACCACCACCAGGCAACTTCCCTGGTCTTTATTTCCTGAGAATGAGGGAACCCTGCAAAGAACCACACTCAGAATTTAAATCAAACTCCCCCATCCCCTCCTCCACAAAGAATTCTGCTTATGGTTCATCCACCCTGGATTTTCCAGGCAGACTAGCCATTAGACTCAACATGCCTTTGTGCTGGGAGGCGTTTGTGTTTCAAACCTCAGTAAAAAAGAAAAATGACTGCTAAAGGAATAATTGAGCATCTGTGGTTAATCTGTTTGTTTCCTTTCCTGTAGCCACACTTAGGAAGCAATGCAGATAGATGAGCCAGCCCCTTGGCTCGGTCCTGGCACAGGAGCAGGTGCACGATGCAGGACAATGGCAATGGAGATGAAAGGAAGCCAGGAGTGAGGCCCGGGTTTTCTTCCGTTTCTCTGACCACCCTGCCTTCACCAGAGACCACTGCCTTGCCCTGATTGGGAGACGCCTCTTTATTTTGCTTAGTTGATAATGAAAATACAGACAGGGCTGAGAGAAATAAAGCTAGGTTCAAGGAAATTAGACAGCTTGAGACCTAATTTCAGGACAGCCCAGTAAAGAGGATGTGATTAATAATAAGTTGTAGTAATAAGGCTTGTTGTCCACACCGCATATCACAGATGGAAAAATCTCTTAATTTTGAGAATTCAGAAATTTGGCTTCTAGAATGATTTAGTTAGCTTATACAGAGGAGTATGGCCATGTAACATTTTGTAAAGCACAAGGGAGTTGCTCTGTATTTTTCAAATATGGGTATTGTTTGTTTTCTTGCCAGTCCTCCCCTTATAAACTCCACGTTGTCTAACTCCAAGGTTACTACTGTATGCCCAGCACAGAGTCTGCACTTCAGCAAAATCTCAAAACCTGTTTGTTCGATAAATGAATAAATCACAGTTCCAAAACTGATAATGTTTTGTGGAAATTAAAAAAAAAAATCACACACAAGGCATTTTTGGAAGTATCACTTGGAAAGGCCTAATCTTTTTTTATTTCCTAAAGATTTACAGTGGTGGACTAGAGGTTAAATCTCAGCACTATCACCTCTACGGCTTGAGTTAGATTCCTGGCCAGGGAGCTGAACCACATGGCACATCAGACCTCTCCTGTCTCACCTGCTGCTCACCTTAGCAGTGTATTTCAGTAGATCTGCCTGTTCTGCTCCCCACTCTGTCTCTGGTGAATTCTCTCACCCCACACCTCTGGCCTACACCCCAGTTCTTCTATGCAAAAAAAAATATATACACACAACAAATATATATATGTGTGTGTGTGTAGATAGATAGATAGATAGATAGATAGATAGATAGATAGATAGATAGATAGACCAAAAAAAGAGAGAGACCTGCAAACATCTAAGTGTCCATTTCTCTTCAAGTCCTTGGATGGTTCCAAATAAAGAGCATGAGGTTAAAACTGTATGTTAATACATATTATATATAATGCTATAAAGGAAAGGGCTTTTTGAGTTTGAGGTGAAGGGGTGAGAAGACCACAGATGATAGGACTGGAACAAACCACCAAGTAGGGAGATCAACAGGCACCAATCATATATCCTTATCCTGTTCAACTTGAAATCTTTTTGAGGAATGGAGGCTTAATCACCACTGGTATCAGGGAGACGCTGAAAAGAAATCATGCAGGGGAAAATATCAAGATTCACAAAACAATAGACAAATGGGTAATAAAATAGCAACTGGCTGATACTTTCAAGATTTGCTGAGATAAAGAACTTGTAAGAATGTGCTATAGACAGTAGTTCAAGTTCTAAGGGGATGAATTCATGAGTTACCTCTCACATGGTGGAGACTCTATGGAGGGTGGTTTGGGGGGAGGGTTCCCCACTCTAACAGTAGAGCCAAGGCTATTTCTCTTACCCCTATTCAGATCTTTTTGGAAAAATGATGTACACAGCGAGTGAAATTCAAGCTGTGTACATTTATTAAGAAGGTCTCAGTAAATCGTAATTTACTCCAAATGAAACTCAACTTAGGTTACCAAGTTCAGTCCACCTTTTTAATCCAATGTGAAATGCCAAACATAAGGTCAAGAAGGATCAGGAGTGATATTAGACCAGTTGCTTAAGGGATACCATTTTTTTTAAGATAAGATTTATTTATTTTTGTGTAGAAGAACTGGAGTGTAGCCAGAAGTGCAGGGGGTGAGAAAATTCACCAGAGACAGAGTAAGGAGCAGAACAAGTGAATCTACTGGAATACACTGCTGAGGGGGGCACTGGGCAAGCCAGGAGAGGTCTGCTGCACCATGTGGGTCAGCTCCCTGGCTGGGGATTGAACACAGGCCATGGTGGTGATAGTGCTGAGATTAACCCTTTGGACACCAGGTCCACCCTTTTTAAAAACTACTTATATTTAAGAAAATTCATTATTTTCCACCAGGAAAAGTGCGCATTCCCCTTCTTCTTCCTTGTCCTTTCTTGCAGAGATGAAATGTCCTTCACCACTGCCCTCTCCTCTGGAAGCCCAAGAAACCGTTTTTGTTGAGTATTCTTGTTTCAAAAAAAAGGGAGTCAAGCAGTAGACAGTATTGTGTTTAATTCATTTTGAAAAACAAACTCACATGATTGATTCTCCAGGTCCCCTTACTTGGACCTGACATACTAGGAAGTTCAAATAACTGCATAGTTACATTAAACGGGTTCTGGCGCCGCAGTCACTGGGTGCAGGTAGCAGTGAAACATTCCCAAGACAATCACTAGACATGCAGAATGCCAGCCAGAAGCGTGGACCACTCTCAGGGTCTTGCTGTAGGGAGCATGAGGCTGTATTTTGTATGCATTGACATCTGTATAGGATAAGTCAGCTGTATTCAAGGGAATGAATCACCCCCTATTCCTTGGAACCTAAAGGGGTGTCTTCCCAAAAGAAGTGTGTTTTTAATCCCTAAATTTAGGAACTAGATACCGTTCCGAGTTATGTGTGAGGCTCCTTCAACGGTCAAAGCCAAGCCATCGTGAGCATTGAAAGCTGGCTGACCCCTCCATTCCACTCCCCAGCATGGAGAGAACACTGCTATTCATTGCGTGAATCCAAAAGAATCCCCCATCCCTGGATTTAAGCATGGATGCAAGCCAAGTAAGCCTTGGATATATTTACTCAATCCAGGCCTGTTGGATTGTAGCTATGTTGGTGTAACCTGTGTACGAGGTGGAAAAGTGCTTTAGTGTCTCTACCTGATCCAGCTGCAGGAGAGGGCTTGGGGCTGCCTGCCTAATGGCCCCTAACCCATGTGCTTATATTGGGATCGGTCCCTAGGGATCTGCACCTGGTTGGCTGTCATTTTGAGGTGGACATGGTAAAGCGCCAGTGTCACCACAATGACGAGACCCAAGATGAGCCCCAAAATCAGGGGCAAAGTTTCCTCTAACTGCTCCCGTTCGTCCACTGGGCATTTATGCTCTGAAATGGGGGAGAGGGGAAAACAAAAAGAAGAAAAGCAGTGAGCTCCTAAAAAAAATATTCTGAATTGTAAGTCTTATTAACACTAAAACTTTTTTAAATGGAGATGAAAAGATTGCCAAACAACCTTTAAGGAGACTTTTTTTTTTTAAGAAACGCTATTTCCCCAGCCAACCCTAGGTCCAACTCCTTAATATTTCTGCATAATATAAAATAAAAATAGCTCATTTAAATAGGGTAACACTCAGTTATCAGATTCCTGACAGATGTCAACAAAGCCTCCAGATGATTTGTTTGAATTTTCAGAATTTTGGCATTAGACACAGCCAATCATCATTTTTATTGTTGATTTGATTTCTTAACTTTTTATTCAAGTATAATATATGCATAGAGGAGAGCACACAAATAGCTTTCAAAAAGACTGAAAATGCCAAGTGTTAACAAACATATGGAACAATTGGACCTTACACAGTTTGTGGAAAATGGTACAACTGCTTGGCAAAACTGTTTAGTAGTATCTTTTAAGGACAAACATATGCCTACTTTATAACCCAACATTCCATTCCTAGGTATTTACTCAAGAATAATGAAAATATGTAGATACATATAGACTTGCACTTATAAATGTTCATAGGAACTTTATTCCAAACTGAAGTTGGAAACAACAAAATGCCCATCAAAGTGGAATAAATAAACTGATATATTCACACAGCGGAATGCTAAGAGTAATAAAAAGGAATGATCTTTGGTTCCCAAAACAGAATGCATGAATCTCAGTAACAGTTAGTGAAAACTGTCAAATACAAAAGAATACATAATGTATGATTCCACACACAAAGTTCAAAAATACATTAAAAAAAATTAGTGATTGAAGTCAGTAACGTGCTTACATCTGGGGAACAGGCCACAAGAGAACTTCCAGGGTGTCATGAAATTGTTCATTAGCTCAGGCCATTGACTCCTTGTGGGGGCTTCGGGCCAGAGCTACAGATAGATGGGCATCTATTTCTTCATGAAAACCAAGTGTTTAAGACAAAATGAGCCAGTAAATGTTTACTGAGTGCCTACTGGGTGCCAGGCCCCTGCAGAATCCCTGCTGCCACAGTCTTTCCTCTCACCTTACCTGAGATCAACAGGAAGGGGTGGGGTGGGGCAGTGATGCTTGAAACCAGGGATTTTTTTCTGCTCTCATAAGAATCCCGAAAATTGTGGACAGATACACAAATTTTTAAAAACTGTATACTTAATATACCTGGTTCTAAATTTCTAAATACAAATTATTTAATCCCCACAATGACCCTATAAAGTAAATACAGTTGATGCTTGAACAACATGGGTTTGGCTTCTGAGGTTACACTTGTATGTGCATTTTTTTCTGTTCATGGATTTTTTTCTACCCCTGAGTTTCATGTTTTTGATTGATTGACTAATTTTTTTTTTAAGATTTATTTATTTATTTATACACGCTCTGGGTGCAGTCAGAAGCGTAGGAGGGTGAGAGAATTCACCAGAGCCAGAGTGGGGAACAGAACAGGCAGACTGACGAAATACACTGCTGAGGGGAGCAGCGGGTGGCAGGAGAGGTCTGCGAGCCATGTGGGAACCTCACCAGCAACCGGGGATCGAACCAGCGCTGCAGAGGCTGCGGGCAGCTGGGCAGCTTCACAGTCCAGCGTTCAACCGCTGCGCCACCAGGGGACGCCCTGATTGATTGACTCTAAGGAAGTGAAATTGGCACTTATGGAGGGCCGACTGTAAACTATACTTGGATTTTCAGTTTTGGAGTGGAGAGGGGTAACTAGAGGCCGAAGCCAAAGATGGTTACATGTGGTGGCCCTGGAGGGGAGTGCTGGTGAGGCAGGTGAAACGCCAACGAAATATCAGTGGGTGTGGAGACTGATAAGAAATACAAGGAACTGGGCCTCCCTGGTGGCGCAGCGGTTTAGCGCTGGGTTGCGAAGCTGCCCGCAGCCTCTGCGGCACCGGTTCGATCCCCGGATCCGGATCCCCGTCCACCAGAGGAGGGTCCCACATGGCGCGCAGACCTCTCCTGCCGCCCGCTGCTCCCCTCAGCAGTGTACTTCGGTCCCTCTGCCTGCTCTGCTCCCCGCTCTGGCTCTGGTGAATTCTCTCACCCTCCCGCGCTTCTGACTGTACCCAGTGCTTGTATAAATAAATAAATAAATCTTAAAAAAAAAAAGAAATACAAGGAACTGCAGAAGCAGCCCCCTGGATTTAGCCTTTGAGATTTGGGCATTTTCAGATCTTCGATTCCTGCCCCACCACGATCTTCCAGAAGGCTGTTGTGGGCCTCTGAAGGACATGGAGAGAGGCTTCCAGCGGCCAACCTGAGAGAAGAAAAGTTCAGAGGCTTTGCAGACAGCCGAGCCACTGAACTGTTTGCAGCTTTGCTGTTGTTATAGCCTGGAAGGGAAGGACCCAGAGCTGGGTGCCTTGCTGAGCTGTGTATATGCAACCTGTTTGAGCTCAGATAGCAACTGGTAAACTATTTGGGCACTGTCGTTGGCCAGCTTTAGTGCCCCTTGCTGCCCTGTATCAGTCCTAAACATGAAGGATCCCAAGATGGAGTCTTCCCACCCCTGACAGACTGGACTACGTGACAGCCAGACTGCACATATTGAAGTATTGATTTGATAAATATTAATTGAGGACTACACATGGGAAGCCATCAATGAAGAAAAGTCACCACACCATCACTTCCCAAAGTGTCTCCCCACAGTGTGCCAAGACAACAGAAGGCGCAACAGGAGATGCTCACCGGAGCTGCCAAGATGCCCCAGCACAGCTCCAGACAATCAACACTTAAAGCAGCTGCAGGGCCTCCCCTGGTGGCGCAGCGGTTGAGCCCTAGACTGCAAGTCGCCCGCAGCTTCTGCAGCGCCTGTTCATTCGCCGGCCACCGGGGAGTGTCCCACAAAAAAAAAAAAAAAAAACCAGCAGCTGCAGCAGCTGAATGACCCTACAAACAGCCAATACTCAACGCAGCTCAGCAAGGCACCCAGCTCCGGGTCCTTCCCTTCCAGGCTATAACAACAGCAAAACTGGAAATAGTTGCAGTGGCTCGGCTATCTGCAAAGCCTCTGAACTTTCCTTCCCTCAGGTTGGCTGCTGGAAGCCTCTGTGCATCCTTCAGAGGCCCGCGAGAGCCTTCTGCAAAATTGACATGGTGGGGCAGGAAGGGATGACCCCAGAATTGCTGAAGATCTGAAAATGCTAAAATCCCAAAGGCTAAATGGAGGTGGGGGGAGTGTTGCTTCTGCAGTCCCTTGTATTTCTTATCAGAGTGTCCACCCGCACTGATACTTTGTTAGTATTTGGCCTGGGTCCTTTCATCCTCACCAGCACTCCCCTCCAGGGGGCGCCGCATGTAAAAGTCCTTGGCTTCAGCCCCAGGTTTACGAAGACCGCTAACCCTGGCATTGTTCAAGGATCAACTGTACTATTATTATGCCCATATTACACGTAGGAAAACTGAGGCATAATTGCCCAGGGAAAACTGAAACTCCAACCTGAACTCAACCAGCCTAGCTCAACAGCACAGTCTGGGATGCGCTTAACACACCTGAGCTAGGTTTCCAGGCAGGATCAGGTGAGTGACAGACCTGAGCTACTAGCATTCATAGGCTACACCCACCCAAAGGTGGGCGGGAAGGAGGAGCTCTGTATTACTGGTTGTACATGGTCATAGTTCAATTTCTGAAAATTGGATGAGACAGATACTTATTACAAAGGGACACTTTGGGGAGTGATGATGTGGTGACATTTCTTCATTGATGGCTTCCCATGTGTAGTCCTCAATTAATACTTATCAAATCAGTACTTCAATATGTGCAGTCTATTGTTTTTCATTTATACCTGAATAAAACTGTTTAAAATTAGTAAACATATATATATATATGCCTGTGTGTGTTTGCATGTATACATATAAATCCTCTAATTAAAAAATATTTAATAGGTTTTTAAAAAGATACTTTGGTAAGTGTTAAAGAAGTGTTAAGGACCTATTATATTAGCAGTAAATTGAGCTTTTCTCTTACCACAATCAAAGACTGAAAAGGCACTAGCAGGCAAATTTCCACTATTTGATTCAATTCTGGTGAGTTCATCACCCTTGAGAATTAGCTGGTGACAAATATACCTACTTCCCAGCAAAAGAAAACAATTGTACAGGGACCAGAGACACTTTAGAGCTCCAAAGCCATCCCATGCTTTTCTCTGAAGAGAGCCATCAGTAGAAATGGAGCCTACAGGGCCTCCCCTGGTGGTGAAGGCGGTTGAGCACCATGCTGTGAAGCTGTCCGCAGCCTCTGCAGTGCCCATTCGATCCCAGCCGGCCGGCGAGGGTCCCAAATGGCAGGGCAGACCTCTCCTGTCTCGCCTGCTGCTCCCCTCAGCAGTGTATTTTGTCACTCTGCCTGTTCTGCTCCCCGCTCTATCTCTGGTGAATCCTCTTCTCCCTCCCGTGCATCTGACCTGTACCCTGGTTCTTGTATAAATAAATGAATAAATCTTAAAAAAAAAAAAAAAGATGTAAAAAAAGAAATGGAGCCTACAGGGTTAGGGATTTTAACAACAAAGTTTCTTTGTTTTCCTTACTACAGTGCACTCTTGCCTTAGTAATGGTAACAGTTTTTTTGTTGTTTTATTTATTTTTTTATACTTACAAGAACTGGAATGCAGGCCAGAGGTGCAGGGGGTAAGAGGACCACCAGAGACAGGCTGAAATACACTGCTGAGGGGAGCAGTGGGCAAGGCAGGAGAGGTCTGCTGCTCCATGTGGGTAGCTCCCTGGCCAGGGATCGAATTTGTGCTGCAGTGGCTACGGATAGCTTCATAGTGCTGACTTTAACCCCTGCACCACCAGGGAGGCCCAGGTCTTGAAGATTTATATACTTGATTTCCTTGTGCTCTTACCTTGCTATTCATAACAAACCTCTTTTTACCATGCCTGGTTTTATGTCAACAAGGTGACTTTAGGA